GGGGTTAGATTTACACTCCTCTCCCTTATTGAATCCTTAGTCTCTCATTCCTAGAGGGATCTGTTTGCTATTCCTTTTAATGTTGCTGTTGCCTCTGGCCAACCGCTGGTGACCTACTTGTTTTTCGTTTTTGTTTGGCAGTGTTTATCCTTTTTTGTGATAAAATAGAATAATAAACTATCTATATATTTTAATTTTAATCATTATTGGCCTTTAGTGGAAAAAGCAGCATGTGGTGGGAAGGGTGATTACAGGAGGATGTTCTCCTGATGTTAACTGCATGCGGTTCAGGGTTGACGAGGAAAGGGTGCTCGCAAGAGGGGGCGTGCACACACCAGTATGGAGTCAGGCTCCAGTCTTCCTGTGGGAGGAGTCAGTGAGGAGTCAGCGAGGAGTCAGTGGCAGCAATAAATGGAACATCCAGCATAGACACGGTCGGAGGCACATACTTAGACACACAAACGATGCTGTAATTGGATTTACATTTAAGCTTTTAGCTGTATTTTGTCACAAACATTCTCTTTTGTTAGATTCTCTTTCTTAAATGTTTTTTGTTGTTTTTAAGGCCATACAATAAATATTGCACAATAAAATTTGAATATTAAGCTACTGTGTTTTTTTTGCTCCTGAAATAGCCAAGTGAGGTTATTCCATCAATGTGCGATGCCCCCAGTGGCCGGAGGTATAAACTGCGGGCCTGGAATGCCTAAATGAGTTCAGCTAGGAATCTGTGCAGGTGCTCATGCTGTACTGTTGCTTATATCCTGTCTCCTTTCTCTCCTGCTCTCTCTCTCTCTCTCTCTTCACATTTAACCTGTTATCTATCTCCTTATAAAGTGCCAATTAATGGTAAGTTCACAGTTTGCCCTATTGGGGGAGGAGGTTGTGTTGCTTCATGCGGGGGGGGTTGGGGGGGGCACGGGGCGCTGCCTCTGATGTGTGTTGACTTGCATGGCAGCTGACATTTCCCATCCCACGCCTGCCCCCCCGTCGCACACAGCGCAGCCACTGGCTAGCATGGCGAGCTCCATGACCCATCGCACTGTCCCGCTGCGCCCCCGGACACGCCTGCCGACGTTCTCAGCCTCTGACCCCAGCTTGAGGGAGGTCCCATGCGATGCCACCATCGTAGCTGACCGTCAGTCCCCTCCGCTCCTCATCTCTATCATCCACGACCCTAAAAGCATCCGTACGCCTTCATCTCACCATCGGTCTAATTATGCCAAGGGCCAGTAGTGTGTGCACCTCAGTCACAGGGTCTGGAGGACTTAGTGGATGTGATTTGTGTTTTTATACGTCATAAAGTAGCTGGATAAAGGACGCTTTTCTGTGTGGTCACCCTAAAATAACTATTTATTTTTCTCGAGTGCTGTAATGTCTGCGCTGATGATGAAGTCCCTCTCGACCACGTTCCTCTGTGTCCTTCACTCACTCCTGTGGCGGTTCAGTGTTAGTCCCCAAAGCAGACGTAGCAGCTGAATCTCTCCCTCACATAGCCTCATCTCGATGACCCGGCCGCCTCTTTGTCTCTCCGTCTCGCGGCCAGCCCGGTCCGGGGTCCTCGCCCCAGGGAGTGCTGACCGCGTGGTGATGGCATGTCGTTGCAGACGAGGCCCAGACGATGGCGAGCGACACCAGCAGCCTGGCGCAGTCGTACAAGAAGCGGGAGGTGGCGGACGTGCCCTACCAGACGGGCCAGCTGCATCCTGCCATCCGCGTGGCCGACCTGCTGCAGCACATCACTCAGATGAAATGCGCCGAGGGCTACGGCTTCAAGGAGGAGTATGAGGTGAGGCCCCGCATGTCCGCCGCTCCTCCTCGTCCTCCTCCTCGTCCTGTCCCCCCTCCGTGCTGTGCCGATTGTAGGTCTCTGTGGTGCCGTTTGAGTCTTCATGCACGGCATCTGCATCCTCGCCACACAGATCCCCACGGCGTTCTCATGCTCCGTTTGCCCTCAGTGTGCCCCTCGTGCCTTGTGGTCGCCCTCCTGCCCCCTGTTGCCCGGCGCGTGGCAGCGCTCTGGCCATAGCGGGGCTTAGCGTTCGGCCCTGTGCTGTAAATAAGATGAACAAGAATGGCATAGTCCGTCCTCCTATTTTTTTTTCTATCTGAGGGGGACATCACAGTGTGAAAGGCTCCTTGCTGATTTTTCCCGCTCCTGTGTTTGAGTTCTGCAGAATTTTTCTCAGCACTTGCGAGCTTTAATCTGACTCTCTGATGCCCGAAAAAAATAAAAAAACACAGACAGGAAACAGGCAGCCCCACCAGCACTGGGCTTAATTTTTATGTCCTTCATTAAACGGTGGCACACTGGGTCACAGCGCTAGCCAGCGCTGCCCGCTCGCGGTTGGCCTCTGTGACGGGCTGCTGGCCTCTCTCATCTTAGGGGGCTCGGGGCTTTGAAAAGTGCACAGTTTGTGTGGGAGACGTTTATCCGTAATGAGCCCCCCTATTGTAAAAAACAAAGCAACCGCATCCAGGGGATATCCCATAATTCCTTGGTCTGCCTTGTCCTTGGCAGGCTATTTGGGGCTGTCTTAAGGGTTTCATTTCTGTTTTTCTCTTGAGGGGGGGCAGCAACACGGCTGGGCAGATGAACGATGCACGCCCCCAATCCCCCACCACCCCACCACCATTCTGGATGCTTCCTCCGACTGGCTGTTATTTTTAATGTCTTTATTCGTAGACCTGTCAACTAAAATGTAGACCGGCTTGTTTGGCTAGTAACCCATTTGTGTGTGATGTTCTCAAACCAGTGACCTTTAAGACTGACCAGGATGGTGTCCAAACATACTACTAAAATGCTCGCTTATTTCTCTCTGACCCATGCTTCTTGTTAATCTGTACATTAACTGTGGAAAAGATTAACGAGGTAAGCGGATCCCTTTTGGTTGTTTGTGACTTGTAGCAATCGTCACATTATAGTCTTACCAAGCTAGTTACTTGTAGCCTTAGGTAATGCTGTGTTATTCCAGTCAGGAATGAATATTTTTAGGGATAAATGCATCTGGAAACTGCCATCGGAAGATAAATGTACATGTTGGCAAACTGTGTCCTGCTCCCTCCCAGCAATGATAGTGGATTTGTTTTGCTACATACTGGAGCACCTTTTGCCCAAACATAATGTCAAAATGTTCCCATTTTTTGAGATGTTTCATTAATCCGTAGTTTCTTCTGTCTCGAGACGATGCTGGTGGCTTATTAACTGCCCCTGAAGGTACCACCAAGGAGAAAGGCGGGATTTATAAGCAGAGAATCGGTTTACCCGCTCAGAGCACAGCTGGATTCCGTAGATAAGTTTTTCCTATATATCGTTGTCTTTGAGAAAAAAATATGCAGCAAAACAAACTGCTTAATGCTAAAAGGAATATTAAGCGCCTCATTTTTCTACAATAATTTCCTCTGTTTGACACCTTTCTGTCAATTTGTGTACCCCTGACAAACTGTTCAGAGTGTAACCACTTGTGAAGGTTTGAAGCTCTTTGGACTTCCTCTAAGAGAGCTTGTTAGAGCTTAATAATTGTCTGTTTTCTGCCTTTGATTGTGATTTTTTTTCCCCCTGATAGTGTGCTAAGTCAGAGGTTGCACGCACTCTGAAATGTTTGTTCCCCTTTAAGAATCCAATAAGTAATGTGTCACTGCGTGTGCTGTTGCATGTTTAAGGCTTGGAAGCACACATGTTACATTACCACAGTCAGCCAGTCGCTGTGGTAACACAGTAAGAAATAACATGTAAGAAATAAGAGTTAAAGAAATGCTGAAATCTGTCAAGCCGCTGTGATACGGGTTAGTAATAAGCTATCATGTAACTGGATTCCTGTGTAAATTAAGGTACCTGTAAGGGTGATTTTCTCCAAAGTGTTTTATGCAAGAAAGTATAGGGTAAGGTGATTTTTATTACTTTTTTTTTACTTTAAACTGAACAAATTGTCGAGAATTTATCTTGCTTTAAAAAATAGTACCCTGACCCATATGATGAATAATGCATATTACTTTTCTCTGTTGCTAGTTACTATCTGCAGGTATGGTAATACCATGGAAGGTAGCTGTGAAATGTCACCTTGTATAAGGTCTGTCTAGACCTGCTATCTCTGAACTGAAATGCAACCACTGGACCTGAGAAATCATCCTGTTCTGTATGCTATATGTTCTATTGCTGTATGCCTTTGAGTACCACTCCAGAAAAAAGAACTAGCCACACTGATCCAGTTCATGGGAGACATCAGCACTGTCAGATGCTCATTACATTCAGAAGGAGCTGTATGGTCAGCCATTGCAAACCTTGACACGCGTTTACCCTGGTGTCACGCTCTGTAGAGAACTGTAGAGAAACATCCAGTCTCACTCTGCCAGGAACCTGACTCATGGACTCTGGCCTTTAACCATGTCAAAACAGTATCTCCCCCCCTTCGGACCGTTTGAATCGTGATTCTCTGTAATGTCTCATCGATGGATTCCCCCAGGAACAGATTAGCTACTGTTACACATGTGGTGAAAAATCATGTTTAACTCTTACATGCTCCTACAATAATTACAGTGGTACTTCAGTTCTCGAACTCGTTAGAACTCGAATTTCTTAAAAGTCAAACCAACCAGTTTGAAAAAAAATTACCTAGAACTCAAACCGTGAACCCTGACCTAAGATAACTTGTACACGCGGGGAAATGAGTCACGCGGCATGTCTCTCAGTGGAAACAAAGGGTAACGCTTCAGTCTCAGACTCGCATTCGCTGTTTACACTAGCTGAATACATATATTTAGACAGTAAAAATACATTTAGACAATGATATACAGTAACAGTGATTGTTACATAATAAAATACATTTAAAAAAAGATTTCTTATTAATAATCTTAATATTAATAATAAACCATTAATACATTTAATCATAATAATATTGTCGTGCCCAGTGGGGACAGAATGGAGACAAAGGCGCAGACGTCAGGGTATCGGGGAATATGAGGTTTAATTACAGGTAAGGCAGGCAAAACGCAGACGGGCAATGCAATGACCGGACTGGGGAAACAAACTGAAACACGGACTAAATACAGAGGACTAATGACAAGAACCAGAAACAGCTGATCACACGGGGATCCCACATGGGGTTAACGAGGAGGCGTGGCACACGGAAGAAGCGGACGATCGGGGCATGACACATTGTTTTTTTTTTGTTTTTTTTAACTTTACACATTGTTTGGATACATTTATTTTCTTACTTTAAAAATGACTGTTTTGATAAATGTGCTTAGATGTCTATAGTACAGTATATGCTTTTCTTGTTTTGTCCGGTTCATTTTGTGTTTAAATGCTAAACAAAAAAAAAAAAAACATATTTCGGTGTAATTTTTTGGGACCGGGAACAAATTAACTGGTTTTCCATTATTTCTTATGGGGAAAATTTAATCAGAACTCGAACTTTTTAGGATTCGGTCCGGAGTTCTGACCAGATTAATTTCAAGTCCTGAGGTACCACTGTATGTTTAACTATGAGAAAAGTCACCTGACATGTGCCTTTTTGGGCTCAATTTGACCCCAGGGTAGGTGTGAGAGATGTTAGAAAACAATCACATAATTCTTTCCATTCTTTAGACATCTGACAAACACCGCACACAGCCACAACTTCTCCTGCTGCAACTCGAATGGTGCATTTAATTTGAACCGGGAAGTCGGAATTTCTGAGTTCCAAGTCGGTGGAACCTGTATACCCCTGACCTCAGAATTCAAGATGGCTGCGCCCGTTATCAACAGAAGTGAAATCTGTCGTTATATACTGTTGATTAACACTTATGTTTTAATTGTGTCTTATTTAATCAATTGTACACACAGTATTCCAACCCCTACCTGTGGACATGTTGCTACAGTGTTTGTATGCTCAAAATTTCCCATAATGTGTTATCAACTGGTATTGATAATAATGGCTAACAATGATCCTGCTTAGAACTAGCATTGCTAAATGCTTTTTGACTTCTTGTACTGGAACGTGGTTAACTCGGTGTGACGTCATTTACAGCTGTTGGGGTAAATGGAATGCAGCATAACACTCACTGAAACAAACTCCCTTTTTTCCTCTAGTACCCTTTAGCTGTCCTACAGTAGGTGCCTGGATACCTAAATGAATACAAGGAAGAACAACTAAACAAGAAACTAAAATAAAATATAATGTCACGAAACAGAACAGCATAACCCAGCACTAGTTATGGCCAAATGAATTTTCATGAACCATTTGCTGTATTTTCTGACACCAATAGATGGTGCTCTATTCGAAAAGGAGCTCAATTCGTGCCCCAAAGCAGACCAAGAGCGCCTTCTAGTGCAGTCAAAAATATAGAAAATTGTTCATGAAACTTGAATTAGCTATCACTATCCAGCACAGTTAGGGTGAGAAAAATCTAAACTATAAAATAAAATATTGTGCATCGCAGTAGCAAACTGGGTGGGGGGGGGTGTTTTATCTGCCTGAGACCCAGAAGTCGTCCCATCTTGGACCAGTCACATTTCATACCCGGAGGGAGGAAAGTACCATTTACAGGGCTCATCCCGTCTCCTGTTCCCCTCTGTGGTAGACGGTGAACCCTGAGGTCTCATTGGCCAATGAGTTTCATTAGCCAATCACATGCACCACTCATCCCCCAGGCTACTGGGGGGCTAGACGGATGGGTGGAGCTTAAATGCTCCAGAAACCCGACAGCGGGTTATGGGGCATTCTGGGCCATCAGTGGGATAGGAAGGTTGTCCTACTCCGAACCAGCGACACCAACAGAACAGGTGATGGCCCCCAGCACCCTCATAGCGGGTCTGTCTTAATTTCTGACAAGACTGCCTCATTTATTAATATGTATGTTCCATATTCCTATGCAGAATTTAGCAGCCATACAAAAGGAATGAGGTTTCAGGGAATATAAGTTTTGTAATAATCAAGGCTGGATGAGGTGTTATATTGTATGATAAATTGGTCCTGTGGTATTAGGGATTGTGTCTGTATACCTAATGACTTTGGGAGCTCAACGAGCCCATTTGAGGTCTCTGCTATCTAAAAGAATTGCATACTTTGTTTTCATAACCAATCGCTTTAATCTACAAATACTTCCTAATCAAAGTGAATGGGTTGTCATTAATACAGTTTTGAATGTTTCATTATTAATGGATGCCCTGATTAAGGATTCTGTTTTCTGTGTACTGGGTTTCTATCCTTTGGTGTCCCTTTTTAAAAATACTCTCCCTGACACGTTAGATAGTTACCCGGCCTTCGTACCGTGAACGTGTCAAGCACTGCTCCTCGGTTTTGATGTCAAAGATTGCTGTGTTCAAGGGAATCCGCCTTTATCGTACATGTGGGACTTCTGCATGTATAATGCTGTCAGTAAGACACTGAAGACATGTTGAGAACTTATCTTTAAAAACCTGATAAAATTACTCAGTCCTTTTTCTTCTGTTTAAATATTTCCGATTATAAAACGTAGATGGTGGCACCCAAAGGGGAATCCCAAAGGCACTTTCCGTATGTGTGAGCTTCGTGCTCCACCTTGTGTGAGAGTGTTAAGGGCTATAGCATTGCTTAGGGGCTTGTCCTGTTGAGCTTTTCATAAGTACTGTGTCAGGGCTCACAGAGGCAGTTATGAACATTTATGTCTCGCTTATGAAGGGCTGAAACACTTTCCTGGATGCATTTTCCCAGTGCAACATAAAATCAAGAAATTAGGGTCACCCAGTCCTTGGATCCAGTAGTGAAATCACTCTGCTGACCTGCTAATTTGAACCCCCAAACTTCCAGTCACAGGTTCCTATGTGAGTCCTAGCCCACTGAGCCCCCCCATTATGCTTGAAGGTGTAAGGCATGTCTACATTATAGCCCTTGCTTTTTGTACAGTTATAGCTGCCCAGATGTCTCTCAGTCCAATGTCCTGTTGAATCTGCTTCCCACCCTAATCTGCATCCCGTTCTGTCCGTCGGTGTGGATCTTTATCGTGGTCTCCTCTCTTGCTTCTTTATTCCCCATTCCCTGTGTTTCCACCTTGTCGGCTGAATGTTGGTCAGCAGGACAGTGATGTTCGCAAAATCGCTGCAGCTTGGCGATGGCGCCCCCTCTAGAAGCACGGCTGTCCATCGCCGTGCATCAAAGCACGTTTAATGTCTTCTGGGGCCACCGGGCTTCTGAGTGGATGTACTTGGAATGAAACAGCTGCCTTTCAAAGCATCCCCTGTAGTGACGGTTTACAAGGCCCAAGAAAGCACATTTTGACAAGGCCCTGCACCGGACGGCAAAGGTCATTCCACGGAACGTCTGTAATGCTGAATTTGTATCTTCTTGCCCTGAGTGATTGAAGCATCCTGCGGCTGGTGCACTAAACCCTTATCGGTGACCTCAGACGTCTTCTGGAAGGTCTTTATCCCCGCTTCGGGCAGTTCATCTGAACTCCCGGAACCTTCAATTTCACTGACAGCATTTGGAAATTGGCCATTTTATACAGCAAAGTTCTGTTGTCCAAAACTGTGGAAAAATTTCACAGCCAAAATATCGGAATATCAAATTATCATTTTTTGAATAACTGTCAAAACTCCGGCATTTTTTTAATGAGCACCAGTAGCGATGTTTTTGAGAGACGTGTTACGAGTATTTTCTTGGTGTTTATATTTCATTTGTTTTTGTACTCGCTCACGCTGCGCTCTTCCCGATGGAAATGCGTGGCCTGAGCACCGCCACCACCATCCCCCATATCCCTCCGCCAGACATCTCTCAAAACCGTCAGTCACTCAAATTCACGGATACGTATCCTCCGCTGACAGACACCGGCATGCAGGAAGCTTTCCTCCCTGACCCTGCCCTCCCCCTGAACAGTAACACGCAGGGGGCCCTGAAACTTTATTTTCATGCTCACTGTAATTGTTCTCCGGTTGAGATCAGAAGGGTAGACTCACGCATGTGCCTGATTAATATTTCATGGGCGTCCATGGAGAAGGCCTGTTTTGATCCACCGGCCGTACTGTTTTTATTTTATTTATTTATTTATTTATAATTTTTTTTTTGTCCTTCAAACTGTCAGTGGCTGGGCTCCACTCAGGGAGCAAGCCAGAGGCTGCGAGGACCCTAATGGGCTTATCTGTTTGACACCACTCCAAGGGTCTTCTTCATTCTGTGTTTCATGTCCAATAGCGATGGGGACGTGGACATTTAAAAGCGAGTTTCCATTCTAGAGCTGAAAAGAGACCTGTTCTTTAGCTTGGTTATCTTTTCAGGCTTTGGGAGGGGGAGGGCTGGGGGTTGGCAGGATGGTGCCTCGTTTTAACTCCCATTTCTTGTCTGTCTCATTTTGTCTTTTCAGAGTTTTTTTGAAGGACAGTCTGCGCCGTGGGACTCCGCTAAGAAAGATGAGAACAGGATGAAGAATCGATATGGAAACATCATCGCGTGTGCGTAGGGACGGCCTGCCGCCGCCACCTCTGACGTAGCTGCTGCTAGCGTAGCATAATTGCGATAATGAAGTCCTAATTAAATATCATTATTAGTTAATAGCAGTATGAGGGGGCCTGTTAAGTGGGAAAAGTGAGAAATGGCCATCGACTTCACACGACTTCAGTCCTGGCCTGGTAACTTTATTTCTGCAAAGGTTTATTACCTCTCGTAAAAATGTTTTGATTTGTCGGTTATATATATGAGATAAATATAACCCCAGGGGCAGCCCTACCTGTAAAATGATTGCCCCCCCCCCCCACCCCCATATGTCTGCTTAGATGGCCATTGCCATATATATCGGGCTTCAGTTGATTGAGTTTTATGAACAGCCAATTTCACACCTGTCCGGGGAGACATGAGGTGCTGTTGATAAATACCTTTACATGTCTGAAGTCCCCGGTGTCTCTCTCTCTCTCTCGGAAAGGGCAGGTTATGTCTCCTTCTGTAACCCTCAGCAGATTTCCTGCACCTCGCAGAGATTAATTTGTCTCTCTCTCTCTGTGCCCCCCCCCACCCCATCCCTGTTTTGCAGATGATCATTCCCGTGTCAGACTTCAGCCCCTGGAGGGCGAGCAGAGCTCGGATTACATTAATGCAAATTACGTTGATGTGAGTACGCGGCCGGACCGGCTGGGGCGCTGACGTGAAGGTCAGCGTGCGTGACATTTCGTGGGGCTGGCAGGAGGGCCATAGACCCACAGCCCCCCGATTCACACAGCCCTGCGCTCGGGCTCCCCGAGGCACCGCCGGGCCGGTGGTGGCCTCAGATCAGACTGGGGGGGTCACTTTATGGGGAAGAGCGCATGAGACCAGGACAGGACAGAGCACGGTGACGGATAGATGGCATGAATGTGCACACACAGCCCCTGTCAGCTGACCCTCCCATCCCCATAAACCGCAACATTTCAGGTGGTTGTATTGTTCCGAGAGCCAGTGTAACACAAGCTGCCTGCAAAAGTCAGGGCCAGTTATCAGAGGCATGTACAGATCTAGTGGGATTTGGTGGTCATGTGACTTGGTGGTCATGTGACTCGCTGGCTGCCCCAGCCCTCTCCATAGATCCAGCATGACATCTTGATGCAGACACCCAGACCAAGACCCACCCAATGCTCTCCCTGTCCTGGCAGTACACCATGCCCCCAAGCACCCCCCCCACACTGCATCCTGACTCCCAGTGGCTGGGCAGTGACAGCCTATAGCCACACCTTCAGAGGGCGCTGTAAATTCACCACGAAGGTGGGACACCTTGCAAATGCAGGGTCTTTAATTATTAACAGGCCGCCTTTTAGTGCGCGGCACATAATGTTCAGAGTGCTTTTTGAAAGAAGCTCACAAAGGCGCCCCATTATTAGACAAGGAGATATGCATATTAAAGAGGCCTCTGATTGAAAATGGCTTAATCTGTGCCGGGGGCCTCGTTCGGCGAGTACTTAGAAGCCATGTTGACTGATTAATGACTTTTTTTTTTTTTTTTTTTTTTTTGCTTTTCCGGAAAAAAACCTCTTTAATCCGAAATCGCCGGGCCTGTCTAAACTAATAAACCCTCGTATACAGAACAGTCATACAATATTTATCAAGCCACCATAATATGCACTCTTAAATAAAATAAATATTCCCTTTAAAAGAAAGGACGGTCATGTTTATGTATGAAAAGAAGACAGCGCTCCTTCCATCACAAAAATAATCACCTTTTTTCCAAAGGATCCGACTAAGATTTACCCCTAATGCACTGGCGAGGAGCTGTTTTGAATCAGAGCGACTCATAGCGCGGCTCTCCGTGTTTATTTACGTGCTGAGGACAGCGAGCTAATAGTGCGTAGCTAATGATGAACCCTGTTGTATCCAGGGTATCTGTGCCACTCGCACCGGCACCAAGCCTCTTCCTACAGCAAAGAAAGCTAACCTTTTTGTCCAAACTTACAAGGTTCCTCTTCTGTGTCTGGTGCTGTTCTGCCCTGATTCTGCCGATCCGGTCCTCCGCTCCTCTAATGAGAGCCCGGCCCCCCTGCAGATTAGCCTTGGATCTCACTGCCCCGGCTGGATCTCGCGGATGCCGGTTGCCGCCGGTTACTGTGGCACTGGGCGTCGTAACCAGGCCCTTGGGGGTCGAACCAGTGGGGTGAGGCTGAATCGAGAGGGGAAAATACTACACCCCGATTCCTCTGCTAATGAACCTGGGAAAGTAGGGGCGTCTGGCAGGGCTGAATGAAAACAACAGCGGCAATAATGAGTGGATAGAACCCCTCCGAGGGAGGCCCGAGTGCTGATTTCCTCAAACTCTACGGTCAAAGGAGTAGCATCCCTTTTTACCTCCGTGTTCCTTTTGTCCGCGATGCAGTCTCATCGGTAAGTTAGATGCAGGGCAATTAGCGCATGAGTCATGCTGGGAGCCGGTGGCAGTGACCCACCTCACGTCACCTTAGAGGGGTCGCTCCGTGGCGCCCCCTTGAGGCGGAGGGACTTGTTCCAAGCAATAAATAGTGTTAGATACAGATCACTCACCCAGAAATGCATCATCCCTCCATCCCCCCGGACGAAAGAGTAAACAAATCCGTACATGGTCCAGGTAGATAAAGGGGTCTTTTGAAGCTGGGGTGTAATTCTAGGGCAGGAATGGCCCAGAGGATCGCCATTCGGGTCCGCTGTTTGTGAAGGTCCTTTTATTCTGGCTTACAAACATTAATTACAGTCAAATTTAAATGAATATGGTGAAGATAGGCGATGATGGCGGGGGCAGTCACAGCAGTGCCAGGAAAGGGGCCACTTTTAATTCACGGCATTTTGTGTCGTTGGACGACGCTCTCATGAGACTATGAGACATTGAAGAAATTAAATTTGAAGGGATTGGGACAATCCCAGGGAAAGTAAACCTATGGCAGAGAAAACTGCCTGTGCATTTAAGGAGTCTCAACCTCTGTGTGGGTTTGTATTTATCACATTGTGGGGGGGGGGGGGGAAAACTTTTACTTTTTAATACTTTAAAAAATGAAAAAATGCCTGTAATATTGTTTGATTACTTATGGTTACGGTTAAGGCTGCGTGGGGGTTAGGGTTGTCATAGGTGGCTGTGCATTTATTTCTGGATTGTAGACAATTTTACTTTATAAATTGGGATTTTGTTTTGGACTTCCCCTGCCGGCCCCTGGAGGATGGGATCCCCCTTTGAGTCTGGTTCCTTCCTTCTAGGGAGTTTTTCCTTGCCACTGTTGCCTCACTGGTGGCTTTGGGCAGGGATAATGTAAAACGCTTTGAGGTAATGGAAATGTGGAAATGCACTATACAAAAATGAATTGAATTAGGTTTATGCCCATATGAAATGAATGGAGTGTCCCCACAACGTTAGGAATATATGGACTTTATTTCATTTACAAACCCGTCTGTGTACCGTCTGAGGTGCTCTCATGCCACATGCGTCCTTTACAGTGACGGCTCTACGTTTCCCCACATAAGGCCTTGTTCATGACTAGATGTGTGGCTGGCTTACGAAACCACATTTCAGGATTATTAAGCTGTAAACGGTGGATTCTGTACTAGTGTTTTACGGTAACTGTGGGGGCTGTGCGCTAGGGCACTGTATCTGTGACCAGAAGGGCGCTGGTTCAAGTCCTAAGGTCGGAAGAGCAATTTCACTGAGCGAGGCTCTTAACCCTCAGCTGCTCCAGGGACAGACTGACTCTGCTTTCTTGAAAATGTGCATCGCTTTGGATAAAAGCGTCTGCTAAATAAGTAAAATGTAAAAATGTTTTCTCAAAGGAGTAAGGCAGGTGTTAGATTTGGCCGCTTCTCAAAAGTGCTACTCAGCTTTGGATAAAAGCGTCTGTTAAATGAATGTAATGTAGCGCAAAACTTACTTTCAGTTTTGATCCTACCAACTGCATTGAAAGCATGAAATCTGTCTGTTCTGTCAATCCCTTGCAGAATATTCTAACACACCTTCCCCGTGTCCTCTGTCCCCACAGGGCTACCACAGACCGAACCACTACATTGCCACCCAAGGTAAGCAATGAGGCCGTCTCCTCTCGACACGCGGTGTTGGCTGCAGGGGCCAGAGCCGCTCTGCTCGTTTGGGGAGCCAGCAAATCCCCCCACCCACCCATCGGCTCCCTGTGCTGCAGTGTTAGAACAATTAATCAAGGCCGCAAGCGGGTTTGGGGGGGGTAATACATAAATGGATTAGCCGCGACGGACGGGCCCCCTTTGTTTCCCGGTTAATCTTGCAGACAGATGCCTGTGTGCAGAATGTTCCGGGGAGCCCTGGAGGTCGCCTCTGATTGATAGTTAATTGTGTGAAATCCATCGTGGCTTGCCGGCGCTCACCAGCAGGCTGCGCTCACGGGTAATTCCAGTGACTTTAAAGAGAGAAAGGAATGTAATCAGCCTGTAATGGACTCGCAGTCTGGTGTGGTGGAGCAGGGAGTCGCGTGATCACCACTTAATTACAGCCACCTGCCTTTCGCCAGGTTCTAGAACTGGGTTATTCTCGTTCTGATATGGTGAGGTGGGCTTTGAGAGTTAGGGGGTGACCCTCCGGAGTCCCTGGGGGCTTTGAGCTACCGCCCTGTTGCCAAAACCCACCCTCAGATGTCTTACCCTGAAATGGCCGGAATTGGGGGGAAAAAAACATGGCTGGGAATTTGAACCCAAATCAGATGGGAGTTTTCTGTGGTTTTATACACCCCCAGTGCCGGGCTTATGATACTGTCTCAGTCAACAGGACAGCATTTTCATGATTTGCAAGGGTGTATACACAGGGGTGGGGCCACAGGGATACTGAAAGTTGATTGTCCCCTGGTGTGCCCCCTCACCTGTCATTCATTGATCCAAAACATTTCATTGGCTAGCCCTTCATTTCAAGACTAGACCTTCTGTATGAATTGTGGCCCCTCTTATGCCCCCCACATTAATAAATCGACAACCAAAAGTACATGGATCTTTGTTTTAGAAGACCTTTGTTTTGATCATGTGTCCTGTCTATGGACTTCCAGTGCATATTGGAGCAGAAATGTTTGAATTTACATCTGGAAAAAACAACGGAGCAGCCCTTCATTCCGGGTGCAAGTCGTACAATTTCCTCTGAAACTGTGCGATGAAATCATCAAAAAAAAAGAGAGAAGAGTGTAATCATTTTTGGGTGGTTCCCAGCTGTCAGGCTCCCTCTCTGCGTGACTGATGTACCGTGTGACCCTGTAATCAAGTGAGGCTGGCATATCCGTTCGGATGTGCCATCGGGGGTGGGGTGGTGGAGGGGGGGATTGTGCGATGAAGGACCCACCTGACTTGAGTGAGAATAGCGATGGCGAGGCCTCATCAGCTGCCATTCACTGCCGGCTTGGGCAGCACTTTGGGCAGCTGTCCCTCCATGAAAGCCTCATTAGCTGGGGCCCGTTTACCCACAGCGGCTCGGAGACGCTTAGCCTCATGCTAATGGCAGACTGCGGATGCGCTCCTGGGCTAAGCTACACGTGCTAGTCTCTGAATTATGTGCAGCCTAGTCGTGACAGGAGGATTGAAAGCATTGCCAGGGGGGTCGGCGGAGCGGCTGGCTGAGCTGCAAGGTTCACGCTAATTGATGGAGAGGAGGGATCATCGAACCCCCCCCCCCCCGTGACACGGGCGGCATCATTTCCATCATTTTGGCCCGTGAGCTTTCTGCATGCATACAGGAGAATTACAGGTAGCCACTCGAAACGCCTCAGCGGCAGTGTTGAGATATTAATGCCGAAAGTAGATCACCTGCAGGGTCCTCAGCTGTCACTCTTAACCCATGGGGGAGGGAGGCTGTGGCTCGCTGAGGTGACACCTACGAGGAGGCGCGAGGGGGCCCCTCATCCACAGCAATGGGCCCGTCAGCCTCCCTCCCTTTATGCTCCTGGCCATCTTTGCCAGCCCGGGCCTCACATTTCTTTGCTATGGAGTGGCGTCGGCCAATCAGAGCTGATGGGCTTCACTACGGGCTGGTATCTCCCAATCACAGCTGACATACTTTGCTACGGGCTGACATCTGCCAATCCGAGCTGACATACTTCGCTATTGGCTAGCATCTGCCAGTCAGAGCTGACGGGCTTCACTATTGGCTAGCATCTGCCAGTCAGAGCTGATGAGCATCGCTACAAGCTAGCGTCTGTCAATCAGAGCTGATGGGCTTCACTATGGGCTGGTATCTCCCAATCACAGCTGACATACTTTGCTACGGGCTGGCATCTGCCAATCAGAGCTGACATACTTCGCTATTGGCTAGCATCTGCCAGTCAGAGCTGATGAGCATCGCTACAAGCTAGCGTCTGTCAATCAGAGCTGATGGGCTTCACTATGGGCTGGTATCTCCCAATCACAGCTGACATACTTTGCTACGGGCTGGCATCTGCCAATCAGAGCTGACATACTTCGCTATTGGCTAGCATCTGCCAGTCAGAGCTGGCGAGCATCGCTACAAGCTAGCATCTGTCAATCAGAGCTGATAGGCTTTGCTATGGGCTGGCGTCTGCAAGTCAGAGCTGATGGGGTTGACTACAGGCTGGCGTCTGCCAATCAGAGCTGATAGGCTTTGCTATGGGCTGGCGTCTGCAAGTCAGAGCTGATGGGGTTGACTACAGGCTGGCGTCTGCCAATCAGAGCCCAGCTTTTAGAGCTTGTGGCAGGATGAGGGTATGGTTAAGAGCCAAAGACGAGGGTGGGCAGGAAGGCGGGTCTCAGGAGCCGGCAGTCTGACCCACACAGGCAGCAGTGGCATTTACCACCACTTGAACTATGGCTTTGCTTGGGGTCCCTGATGCTTAAGGGCCCCCTGCTGACCACAGTCACTACACTAAATTTTAAATAAATATGTTCTTTATTTGGCAGCATGTTCTGCTAACCAGCCAGCCAGCTGAAGTTTTGGGACTCTGCCTGCTAGCTATTTATTTAGGTTTTGAAACATTTGGGGGGGGGGATGTTACTCCAGGGGCCAGTCAGCTTTCAGTGCCCCTGTGGCCCCACCCCTGAATATACCCCTGCAAAGTCATGAATGCACTGTCCTGCTGATGAAGACGGAGCTGCACCGGCCCCTGACCATAAGGCAGGTCTCCTTCTGGGTAAACGGGAGACGAGAGCGCCTCATGCTGGCAGGCCACTGTCATGGGTATATGAGCTGCAATGCGACAGGCCGGGCGGCCTGGGAGTGGAGGCGGAGGGGGGAGGCAGCTTGCGGAGACTCCGGCTAATGTGTGCTAGCGCTCCAGGAGGCGGGGGCGGAGGGGGGGGGGGGGGGGGGATTTGCATGCAGTAATTATTTTGTCAAAAGTAATTTTTTACATTTGGCTGTTGATTAAAAACAGTGCTAATTTGATTTAATTAAATACATAATTGAATTCCTATCATTGCACCTTTATTGCTAAACGCAGCCTTCACTGCAGGACAAAGTTTAAGGGAGGCAAATTAAATTATATAGAGGCAGTGCTGCTTCTGCATTTGTGTTTGCTTTCACGATTATTTATTTGGCTGCCTGAAGCATATGACTGTGTTTTCTGATTATGCCGTTTAGCGCCGGTATGGCGACGCCTAGCAGAGCTATTCTCCAAGACGGTGGTTACTCAAAGCTGTTTGTCTGAGCTCTTCCACTAGCATGCATCAGTCCTTATTGACGTCCTCTGCTTCCATCCGATGGTGACATTTCTGACATCTGATGGTGACAGCTGCTTGATTTCTCTCCCACTGCAGGACCCATGCAGGAAACCGTCATTGATTTCTGGAGAATGGTGTGGCAGGAGAACACAGCCACCATCGTCATGGTCACCAACCTGGTGGAGGTGGGAAGGGTAGGTACTGGATGACGATGTCTTCGAGCTTCTCCAACCTGGGTTGGGGTGATGTCATCTAGCCAGCAGAGATCCTAGCCCTTCTGGATCTGACTATAACTAGGCGTGTTAGAGGGGTACGGACATCCTGGAAGATTCAGGGGCCCTTGCACATTGTAGTGGCCCCAAATTATATCCCACTCAGCATATTCTACTATGGGGGACCCCCTCTGTCCAGCAAAATTTGGGCCCCAAGGTGACATTTTGTCGGGGGGGCTGGAATTTCTAGCACCTGTAAGGATATCTTTCTCATTTCAGGACCATCTTACTCTAGTATTCATGTGAGGATGACTATACCCGGCCGTAAAACTCAATTAGGATTGATTTGACTGTTACTATACTGATCTACCGTGGATGATGACTACATTAACGATTACTACCTACCAGTTTAGGAAAAATAGTGTTCTTGTTAACGACGAAGTTTAATGTGCTTCTTCCAGTTTGTGGGGCTGCAATGAGATAATTAAGCAGATCTGATATAGCCTGGAGGGCAACATCTCTGTGGTGTGAAAACACATCTGCATTAAGGCTGTCATGACATTTAGGGTGTTGCTATGATCATTTATATGCTAGGAATGTAGTAGGAGCTCAGTACTTATGTACATCAGTGACATATTGCCCAGGAAGCAGGGTCTCCTGGAGCAATTGAGGATTAAGGGTCTTGCTCAAGGGCCAAACTTTGACATGACTTTGCTGACCACAAGCTTTTAACCAGCATCCTAACCTGCTGAGCCACACATTGCCCCCCTCAGTAGCTCAATAGTGGAAATATCTCAGCCCTATAGACAAGATATCCAGCAGCATTGGGGGGCCTCTCTAGCTACAGCTGGGTCACCCTCTCCAAGAACATGTAGTTATTCTTAGAAGGCCCTGCAGAACCGGGCCGTTGGTACCAGGCCAGCACCCAGCTCCTTCACAGCAGGCCATTGGAAAGAGGAATTCAGTCCTGAAATCTCAAACCTGGATCTCTGCGGGTTTTCACTGGCCATTCAGCTGGAGAACAGCTTTTCTCAGTCCAGCTGGCCCCTTCCCGCAACACCCTCTTCAGAATTGGGTGTTATGATGAGCGTTGGTTGTAACCCAAGGAACGCCTGGCCAATCAGACCGATCAAGTAACATAACAGCCCCCAGTTAATCTAATTCCGGAGGAAACCCAACATCTATGATTCCCACCAGGGATTCTGATTCCGAGGTGTCTCTCTCGGAAGTGTCACTGGATACAAAAATCTAATTTCTCTGCTAATTAGTCTGCGTGTCTCAGAAGGAGGTCTCATCACCAAGGCAGCCTACATCGCTCTGATCCCACAAATCACACCTTGTTCATCCCTTTTTTGGTCCTTTGTTGGTGGGAAGCTTCTAGAAGGGTCCAAGGAAGGGTTTTGTTTTTCCGTGAGGACGGCGGGGTTTGTTTGATTAACTGTAGGCGCAGGCATCAGATCGGTCTCATTTTCCTGGACCCTGTCACTGGTAAATCTTTCCGATACAGTGGTACATCGGCACATCATCTGTTACCGAGTTGATGCCCATCCTTCCAGCACACTGACTTCAGCTACGAATTGTGCTGTGCAGGATCTTTCTCTCCACTGTGTCGTAGAGATAATATGAGGACATCTTTGAAGCCTCTTAAGGGGTAGCCTCTCCAGCACAAATAGGTTCTCAAAGTCTTCGTTTTACTATTAGACAGGAAGAAAAGGGCAGATCCGTGGAACTGTTCATCATTTATTAATGTTAGCATGAGAGAGCATTAGTTTGAGAATTGCCCCAATATCGGCAACGTAAGTGGAACTCCGCAGCTATTTAATGGTGCAAAAAAACACAAGTATGGAGTATATCTAAAATGATGGAACGCTGCATTCAGTTTGAGACGGGCAGATTACATTAAGCTGAAATTGAATAAAAGTAAACTTTTGTATTCAAGAGACTCGCTTAAAATACCTTCAACTTACACAGTCGGCGACATTATAGTTTTGCATACCTTTAGACATGACTGCAGTTCTCGTGCTTTTAGGTAATGTTCAGATTGAAATACGCAAACGTGTTCTTTGCTTTGTTGGCCCCAGACGTGCTGCTCTCCGCGTGCCTGACATTTACAAAGCCGTCACCTTCTCCCAAGCCCCCGTACTCGTCAGTCAGTATTAATATGGCAACGGAGTGCAGTTGGTTTTTCTGAAAGTGTGAAATTCATGATATGTATGTGTAGTGAGACTCTCTGTGAGCTTAGTAATTAATGAAATTAGGCCCAGGGAATTAGATCGTAAGTAAAAAAACATTTGAAGATTTTGATTTATGCTAGTCAGTATTAACTAAAGGGTCAGTTCTTATCCAGGAAAAGAATGGATCTATAAATTTTATTTAATTTATTTAGCAGATACTTTTTACAAAATGACATACAGTTGAGAAGGGTTGGGGTTAGGGTTAGCTAGTCCCTGGAGCAACTGGGGGTTAAGGGCCCAGCGGTGAAATTACTCTGCCGAACAAGGGATTTGAACTGACGACCTTCTGATCACAAGCACATACTCGCCTGCTGAAACTCCCAGTAGCTCTGAATCTAAGATTGTGGACCTTTATTCCCTCGTAGGTGAAGTGCTGTAAGTACTGGCCTGATGACACAGAGATCTACAGGGACATGAAGGTGACGCTCATCGAGACCCAACTGCTGTCAGAATACGTCATCCGGACATTCGCTGTGGAGAAGGTGCAGTGACATGCGAGGGGCTCCCATGCCTCCGAAAGGCCACTCCGTCAACTGCAAATTTAGTGCGGAGAATTCGGCTTTTACGAGCCATATACTTTCATGCTTTCAGGCCATTTCTCTCTGAATACCCCCCTCCCCCTAACGCGGTCTATATCCTCCACATGTGGTGCGGGGGGGGGGGGGGGGGGTTTCAAGATTAGTCTTGAGAAATTTGTTGTGTGACTAGCATCGCTTGAACCCGTGTCAGTCGTGAGGAAAAGGCCTCCTCATGTTTATCTCATTCATACCTTACTGCTGCCATTGTTATTTCGCTTGTCAATCAAATACGAAAAAAATAGTGTAACCGGGGAGCAGTAAATACGGGGAATGCAGTGCCCCCCCCCCCCCCCCGTCTGGGCGCGTAGCAGTGCGAGCGTCTCTGAGAGCGAGGCCCCCCCCCCCCCCCCCCCGTCTGGGCGCGTAGCAGTGCGAGCGTCTCTGAGAGCGAGGGCGGCCTCTGTTTCCCGGCTTCTCCATCAGCTGTCTGCCCTCACGATATCGCTTTCCGTTAATACGTGCTGTCAGCGTGGCGAGGCGGCCGTCTGTCTTCATGAATACATATTTTAAATTACCGTTGTATTGTCCGGGCCTTCGAGAGAAGGGCAGTTTTCTAAATCCCTGTGGATATTTGAAGGCTTAGCTCTAGCTGTCTGTGCTGGAATCTCTGAGCTGGGCGTCTGCTTCAGTGTAGGAAACCTCCATCAGGTCCATCATTTCTGTGGGCCTGAGGGGGGGGAGGTCCAGGAGAGGGACCAAAATGAGACGCGTTAGATATCATGTAACCCCTCCTGGATTTTGTACTGGATGCGTGAATTACGTGCAGCGGGCCTGCCGGTACTGGTCCGTGTTCCTTTACGCTGAAGAATCGGCAGCTGACATCCACATTTCTCGCCTTCTACAGAGGGGCGCCCATGAGATTCGGGAGATACGGCAGTTCCACTTCACAGGCTGGCCGGACCACGGGGTGCCGTATCATGCCACTGGGCTCCTGGGCTTCATACGGAGGGTGAAAGCCAAGAACCCAGCCAACGCTGGGCCTATGGTGATCCACTGCAGGTACAGGTGCCGGGGCCAAGATCTCATGTGCAGTGACATGGTGTGTCATGTGGTATGGGGGGTGGGGTTTGTTCTTTACATTGGGTGCTGCTGTCCATAGGCATGGATCTCTCTTTAAAAGGGTAACATCTGGTGTTGTGTTGTGTGTTTTAGTATTTTTCGTATTGTGGGTGTTAGTCTGTGATGGTTTTAGGCCTGAAATCAGGTTGCTGATCCCTGCTCTCCCTTAGTGCCGGGGCGGGCCGGACCGGCTGCTTCATCGTCATCGACATCATGCTGGACATGGCTGAGAGGGAGGGTGTGGTCGACATCTACAACTGCGTGCGGGAGTTGCGCTCCAGGAGGGTCAACATGGTGCAGACGGAGGTAGGTAGTGGGTCGCTTGATTTCCCCAGACTGTTTGTTTAGTCTTCTGTCCAACCACCTAGCTTTAGCATTTTAGTATGGCTAAGTTTCAGGGGTGTATACAGGGGCAGAGTCACAGGGGCACTAGCTGAAATCTAATTGGCTCTCGGAGTACCCCCTCTCCTGTCACTCACCTGATCACGGCTAACGATAAAGTTGGTCCCTATAATGTCACCAACCTTAAAAAATCCTACAATCAGTCTAAAAACTTCATTCATTTTGACCTAATGATTTAATTAGTCTTAATCCCACCAAATGAGACCATCGATCTAGTAGGTGGCTTCTGAATTGTGTGATGTATGCATTGTAAATATGCTGTGTTGTCAGGCATGTCAGTTTTGAACACCGCCACCAGGGGGCACCAGTGTCAATGGATGCATCATTTCACAGCAATTTCTTTTAAATCACAAGCACCATTGGATTTAATGGGTAACTGTTTCGTAGACTTGAGCTGAGGTGGCTCCAGGGAGGCTGGAGCGAGCCCATTGCTCCAAATGACTTTCTTGAGATCCGGCGACCTTTCGAGCATGACTTTTCCCCGGAAGGTGTTCGGGTTCTTCGAAGAGGCATGTCACCCCAGCCCATGGCTTGTTTGCTAACCTTCATTTGTTTTCTCTGTGTTAATTGGACCCGGATTTTTTTTTTTGTGTGTGTGTGTGTGTGGATTTCTTTCTATGGCTGAATTTCATGCTGGATTAGGCAGGCTCTTATAGGGGCTGTCCAATTAGATTTTTTTATGGTGTAAAAAAAAAAAGAAAAATGTGTTTAAAACTCTCATTCCTTTTTAAAAAAAAAAATGAACATCACACAGGTCGCAGCTCGAGCTTCTGTCTTCCCAAAAATGATATTACTGAGAAGTGACAGGGGACGATCCCTGCAAAATGCCACTTCATAAATCATTCATGTCACTTAGTTAGCCCAGGTGAACGGCTCATATCTGGGAACGTCAACGCATCCGCCTCCTACAGTATGTCACTTTCATGAGAGTCTGCTCTCGTTCATCGTCATTTGGCTTAACGTGCTGCTTAATTAACAGGCCCTGGGCCCATGGTGGGTTAGGATTATGGTCATGATTACACTTATCTTTATGGTTCTAATTTGCTTGATGATAAAGCAGGCGGTGCTGAGGTTGTCCATCCGTAGCGTTTTAGCTGCGTTCTGCGTGAGCCTTTTCCGTATGGTTTTCCTGCTTGATTGCGCCTGACATCTGCACCGCTGCTCTGGGCACTTCAGTCTGCCTGTCAAGCGTGTGAAGAGGGGTCAGCTTCCCCCACCAGTAAGATCACGGCAAAAGGGTAGTCATTTATCCTCTCTGCTGCATGAGGAAGGGAGAAAATGTTTAAAAGGGACGCCCTGTTACCGTGGTCCTCAATTCCAGCTGTAAATAATAGCTAATTAATATGCCTGGATTCACGTTCGGGCCAAAAGGATCTACATTCACTTATAAAAACATTTACTTAGCAGTAACTTCTATCCAAAGCAACGCGCAATTAAGAAAGCAGGGTCACCCAGTCTCTCGCAATCGAGGGCTTTACTGAAGGACCCAAAGCTGAAATCTCTCTGCTGACAATGGGATTTGAAGCAGCGACCTTTTGATCCTGCTGAGTCACACACTGACGCAGTCTAAAGAAACTCCACAGGTGTATTGTGCTGAGTTCTCATTGAGAGCAGACTGACTCTCGAATAACAGGTGAGCTTATAGAGCAGCAGATTATATGCTGGTAAGCCCCAGAGACTGAGCTCGTCTCTCGATCCCCAGGAGCAATATGTGTTCATCCACGACGCCATACTGGAAGCCTGCCTGTGTGGAGACACCACCATCCCTGCCAGCCAGCTGCGTTCGGTCTACTACGACATGAACCGTCTGGACCCGCAGACCAACTCCAGCCAGATCAAGGAGGAGTTCCGGGTAAGCAAGGCGTGGCGGTGACACAGGGTGGAATAACCTGGGGCGGTGACACTGAGTGGTGACACAGGGTAGTGACATGATGAGGTGACGTGGAGCCATGACATGGGGAGGTGGAATGAGGAGGTGACACGGGGCAGTGACATGGGGTGATGACAAGGGGAAGTGTCCCGGGACGACATGGAGAGGTGACAAGGGGAGGTGACGTGGGTGACATGGAGAGGTGACATGAGGGGGTGACACGAAGCAACATGGGGAGGTGATGAGGAAGTGACACTTGGAGCTGACACAGGGCAACATGGGGAGGTGATGAGGAGGTGACACTTGGAGCTGACACTGGGCAACATGGGGAGGTGACGGGGAGGTGAACACGGAGGTTCCCACTACGCTGGGATCTGGAAGTCTCTCTTATTACTCAACTTATCACTTCAGGACTGACTTGTGGTCCATGTCATGTTTTGCTTCTGGACCATATTGGACATATTCCCCCCCCCCCAGACGCTGAACATGGTGACCCCCACACTGCGGGTTGAGGACTGCAGCATCGCCCTGCTGCCACGTAACCACGAGAAAAACCGCTGCATGGACGTGCTGCCCCCCGACCGCTGCCTGCCCTTCCTCATCACCATCGACGGCGAGAGCAGCAACTACATCAACGCCGCGCTCATGGATGTAGGTGGCCCCTGCGGAATGTAGGCGGGGGGTGGGGCTTATCCTGGCCAACACTGGGCACGTGATTGGACGGCATGCCGGTCCACCTCGGGGGACAAACACGCAGAGTCACACTTGCCCACTCATGCATTATGGGCAATTTAGAGAGTCCACTTAGCCTAACTGCAAGTCTTTCGACTGCGGGAGGAAGCCAGAGTAGCTGGAGGAAATGGGGGGGGGGGGGTTGTTATCATTGTATTTAAACAAACACCTCTGCGCTGGAAATGGATTCTCTAAGCGCGCACGCTCATCCGTACACTTAGGGTATAATTTGTGGTGGCAAATAGTCAGACTGAGTGCCTGAAGTGGCTTAGGTCTGTGTGTACATGGTGTCCCTGCTCAGGAATACACTGTCAGTGGTGATTATCAAACGGGGGACGAGTTGAAGAGCAGAAGAGGCCCTGAGGTTTACACGGTGTCCTCATTACGAACCCAAATGAAGGCGATCATGTCCATTTATTCTGCAACCCTGAAGACTATGTTGCTTGTGTTAATTTTGACATAAGATTACTGTTCCCTTGTTGCTCAGTTAAATTATTATACCAGTATTGTATGCAAAGACAGTCAAACTACTGTGGTTGATTCTGTTAGCAAAATTAAAAAAAAAAAAAAAAAACTTCTGCAATCCCAAGTTACCGTACACAGGACAGAGTTGAATGAAATTAAGAATGTGGGTTTCTGTTTGCACATCGGCTAATTTGGTTGTCCTTCTGTCACTGTCTGGTGAAATTGCTGTGCACCAGGGAATTGAACTCCCTTCTAACTGCTTGTTTTTCTTACCGTGTCACACAGAGCTACAAGCAGCCATCTGCCTTCATCGTCACTCAGCATCCCCTCCCCAACACAGTGAAGGACTTCTGGAGGCTGGTGTTGGACTACCACTGCACCTCCATGGTCATGCTGAATGACGTGGATCCAGCTCAGGTAGGACACCAGACCCTACCAGCTTATGACTGTAATAAGTCTGATAAAAATGCATTATATAAGACAAACGACACTGTGACGTAGACCAGAGGAGGTGTACGTGGTGACAATAGACTACAAGAAGGTTACGTTGTGACAATAGACCACAAGAAGAGAACACTGTGATGTAGACCACAGGATGAGGACACTGACATAGGCCACTGGAACAGATCATGGTGACATAGACTGCTAGAAGTGAACATGGCGAAGCAGACCACAGGAAGAGGATGTGGTGGTGGAGAATACAGAAACAAGACATGGTGACGGAGACTACAGGAAGAGGATAGGGTGACATGGACCACAGAGTTTGCAGAACTTGTGGAATAGTGTGGGGGCCCTGGACAGTGTGTAGGGCAGACTGTGGAGCAGGGAGAATGTGTGTGAAGCAGACTATGGGAGCACAGGCCTGCGGCCCTGTCAACACAGCCGGGGATCAAAGCGCGGAGTGGAGCTGCTTCCCCCTCAGCCGTGTTCCCTGAGTGACTGGCCCTTTCATTCGCTATTCTGACTGTAGCTGGGACAGCAGGTGGAGCTGCTGAGAAACTCAGCATCAGCAGCACAACCCTTCAATGTGCCAGGCAGGACACGGTCCCGCCAGGCCAGCATGCATGAGCCCCACGCTCCAAATTAGGCCGTCTGCAGTTCTGTAGGACCTCATCCACTCCTCGCGTGAGGACGAGTCAGTGAGACGGAAAACAAGGATGCTTTCCACTGCTTCCCTGGCACGTGATGGAGCTCCCAGGGGCCAGAATATCAATACAAAAAAAAACCTGCCGTTCAGCCTTTTGATCACACTCTCAACTACAAAAAGCTGTGCACTGTGTTCTGTTCTCCTTCCTCGGGGGAGAAACCCATGCACAGGATTTATTTTCTAACCTGAGACTGAACCCCAGATGTAGCCATACAGACATCCTCATGTCTCAGCGTGATTCCTCGCAGTCTCTTATTGGCTGATACTTATCCATGGTATGCACATGCTGATTGTTGTTTGGCTCTCTTCCTTCCAACCTGACAGCTCTGTCCTCAATACTGGCCAGAGAATGGGGTTCATCGACACGGCCCCATTCAGGTAGAGTTTGTGTCCGCGGACCTGGAGGAGGACATTATCAGTAGGATATTCCGGATCTACAACGCTGCACGGGTGAGTCCCCTACCCCCGCTTTCCTGCTCCATGGTGCCTCATCTGCCCCCAGGTGGCCCTGAGAGTCCTGTTTGACTTCTGTTTGACTTCTGTTTGACTCCTGTTTGACTCCTGTTTGACTCCTGCTTGACTCCTGTTTGACTCCTGCTTGACTCCTGTTTGTGTTTATCAGCCCCAGGATGGCTACCGCATGGTGCAGCAGTTCCAGTTCCTGGGCTGGCCCATGTACCGCGACACGCCCGTCTCCAAGCGCTCCTTCCTCAAGCTCATCCGCCAGGTGGAGAAGTGGCAGGAGGAGTACGATGGAGGCGAGGGCCGCACCGTGGTGCACTGCCTGTAAGTGCCTCCCCCACCCACGGGCTCATCTCGTCCATTGGCTCGAAACTGGTCATGTGACATACTGGACCTGGTCGGCACATGAGCCGATGTTCATCACTAGGTTCATGGAAGTCGAGCATTAGACTAAAACAATTTTTAGACGGAGGGGAAAAAATTATATGAATGTTATTCTGAAGGAATAGAATAAAGCATCCTAAAAATGTCCTAAAAGCATGCATACGTATGACATGTCAACAGGTAAAACTGCAATATTAGTAAATACAAAATTAAGTTAGGCCAGCAAGCATTCACTTGGTGAAACTGTAGTGATACCACATAAACATCCGCTGTCAGTCCGCAGACAGCTGGAAGACAGGGATGCTAATTTGTCAGAAGATTGGACCGTGATGACTGACACCCTGCAAGCTGCTTCTGAATAGATATACAGAATTGGCATTGATTCATTTATATATCTTAGACTGTTTATCCCAAGGATAGAGGGACGGATGCGGCCATATAGTCTTGCGGCTTCCACAGTGCGTCGGCAGTAACCCTCCCCCCCTCTCTCCCCCCCCCATGTCCTCCAGCAGACATTAACATTAAACAGGGACACACGTCTCGGGGTTCAGGATTTATGTGGGGGCCCCAGCGTCGCTGTCTACTCCGTCCGCATCTATCACCAAGGAAACGTCTCCTTCTCTGGCCAATAAATATCTGATAATACCTGCGCGATGTCCATGTCTCCGTTTGGCATGGAGCCGCACGCGGTGCCTCTATGAAATATAGATGTGTGTCTTAATATTTAACATCTGTTTTGGCTCTAATCTAAAGGATGGAGCAGGTTATTTTCAGCCAGGAAGTCAGCGCAGGTACTCCATACCCACCTCTGTTTGAGTACTGGCGGCAGCTGGGACATGTGACATATGATAGAGTTGAAGGCTAGACTATGTCTGTCACTTCAGCCCCCAGCAGCCAGCACTGAGACTTTGTAACCCTAACCCCCATGCAGGTAGTGCCACTCGCCCAATGTCCATCCCCAAAATCATGGTGCGATGCTTGATTTTCTTGTCATCCTCAGTTCCTGCTTTTTAGAAGGAGGATGTCCTGCTGAGATGGAGGGTGGTGTGTGTGTGTGTGTGTGTGTGTGTGTGTGTGTGTGTGTGTGTGTGTGTGTGTGTGTGTGTGTGTGTGTGTGTGTGTGTGTGTGTGTTTAATGTCACTAGATGATCACGACTGCCTTTCTGGCTGCGCGGAACTGCTCCGTTCCGGATGAGGTTGAATCGTAAAAGAGATGATATTCGATGTCCCCGACAGAGGTGGAGCTGTCAGCATGCTTGTGTAAACAGGCCAGGATGTTCTAGTGCAACAGGGAACAAAGTGGAGTCCACAGCAGATGATCAGAGAGAGTGGAGAAGAAGATGTGGAAGAAGCTGGTACTCAGTCACTTGCTCGCTCACTCGCCCGAGGAGAGTGCCAGTTCCTTTCCCCCTCTGCTCACTGCTTTCCTGGATTCTCCCAGGTGTTGAAAGCAGACATGAGAATTCTTCCACTAAGCTGGAGGTGACCTTCCCTATTGGTCTTTCAGTGCAACACTAGAATATCGCTAAAATGTTTAGCTTTTCACCTCAAACTCTAATTGCTTGATTTAAATGCTATATCCAGGGAAGTTGGGTTCCTTCTGGCTAAGGCAGGATAAGAAGTGCAGCAGCACCACCTACTGGAAAAATCTGTACCTTACACCTTTGGCTTGGATTTGGCAGGAAGAGAATATTGGCAATTCATATGGGAATACACTTGCATACAGCTGAAATATGGAGAGCTTAAGAAGCATGTATTTCCGGCAAATAAGCTGGTTACAATTCAGTCTAGTATTATTATTGGTATTATTATTATTGCTATAGATATTATTATCCATAACCTTGTAATTTTATTTAGTTTTAATTAAGCTAAATATTTTTGCTTGATTAATTGAGGTCAACATTTCATTAACTAATTGCCCTTGATGCATCCTGCAACACTAAATCCTGTATTATTATTATTAATATTATTACTATTAGTAGAAGTAATAGTAGTAGTAGTATCCTACAAGAAATACTCAATGATCGATGAGCAGGACATTACATAAAGGTGTGTGGTTGAGAAATTCCCTGTCTGATTGTATGCATATCTTACGAGCATCACAAAAATATAGCGATAATATCTTCCTGTGCTGTGCAGTGTTTGTCAGGGTGCCTTGGTCTGCCAGCAGTGTGTGTGTGTGTGTGTGCGTGCGTGTGCGTGCGTGTGCGTGCGCGTGCGTGCGTGTGCGTGCGTGTGCGTGCGTGCGTGCGTGCGTGCGTGCGTGTGCATGCACACGCGCATCCCGCAATGGACAAACATCCTGTCCAGGATGCCCCCCTGCCTTCTTACCAATCCTGTCTGGGACAGGCTCCAGACCCATCTGCACTGGATGAGCAGTTGGAAGATAGATGATTAATCTGTATTTCTGAATTAAAAACAAAATTAGTACTTCTGAAAATGTTCACAATCACAGTGAGATCGCTGCAAGGAGTTATCACGATGTGAGAAAGAGCGCCCTCTACTGTCTGGGGCTAGTACTGGCTGTCTCCATTTATATAAAGAATGAAATGTGTAAAAGGTGCTGAGCCTTGACCCTATACCACCCCCCCACCAGGAACGGGGGAGGCCGCAGCGGCACATTCTGTGCCATCAGCATAGTCTGCGAGATGCTACGTCACCAGCGCTCGGTGGATGTGTTCCACGCCGTCAAAACGTTGAGGAACAACAAGCCCAACATGGTGGACCTGCTGGTAAGCCGACCGCCTCCGCACCATGCAGCCTGAGCTGGTTCCTGAAATAACAAGCATATTGAGATTTGGCTTGATGTTCGCTTTGACCTTGTGGTGTTGATCGATACATGGATCCATAAACAGGATGCGGAGCATTAATAATCATTTTGGGCTTAATGTTGACGTGAGAAGCCTGCTTTAACACTTATCTGCTCTTCATACTTTTCTTTTTCTAGGATCAGTACAAGTTCTGCTACGAGGTCGCACTGGAATACTTGAATTCTGGTTAAAGGGCCTGGACACTGCTTCCTGGATGGGGGCAGGACCCAGGGGACACTTGTATGGACTGGCTTCTTTCGGTGACGGCTACCCGGGGAAGGGGGGGGGCGTTCTGTCCCTCCATTTGTATTTACCCACCCACCCCATCATCCAGCAGCAGGAGCACAGTGTTTATGAGTTATTTGTCCAACTCATACTTAAAACAAAAAACAAAAAAAAAAACACTCTTCTTGCCTGTGACTTTGGTCGTTGCCTTTGTCCTCAGTGGATGAAACGCCTGATTTTTTTAAAACCTTTTTTTTGTGGGGAATGCAGTGTAGTCTAATGTGTGCATTTGTCTACTTGGTTATTGTGTTTCCTTGACACGAGCAGTATGATGTAGCTGAAGTTACCTGGTAAAGAATCCGGAACCCTAGATGTTTTGTGTCGTGCTGTAATCTCTACAAGTGTCGTCCCATCACGCGAGAAGCCCCCACCCCCACTGGCGGCACTGGGAGGGGGGGGGGGTCCAGATCCTGCTCAAGCTGTGTTCCATCCAGAGATCCAAAGTCAATCTCTCTTTTTTTTTAAATGTTAAACGCTCCAGTTTCTGTCACCATTTGTTTATACTGTAAATAGTTTGAGTTCTGTAGATTATTTATTCATTCGGAGTACCTTTTGTGAAGCACATTGAGTGACAATCATGTATTTTGGTTTGATTTGTTGAACAGATATTGTTAGCTTTTTGTTTATCTTGTATGGAATTTACAAATACATATATATCTGCCATTATTGGTGTTTTGAGCTATTTCCTCAATAAAAAAAATATTTTAAATAACCTGCCACTTAAAATGTAAGTATGAGTCTATTGCGATATTCACAGCTGAGTCTTCTGATTGTCTGACACACTGAATTCTCTGAATTGCAGAGTATATTCTCATTTGATTTTTTTAACACCATCCAACACCATGTTTTAACACCATGTTTTGTAAAACAGTCATATGTAATTTTATGTAAACTTAGAAAATGTTTTAGCTTATCGGATATGGAATCAATCTGTCACTTTTTGAAGATGGAAAGTCTGTAACTAATCACTAATATCCACAGAAATACTTGGACTGATTGAGTGGAGTCTCTTCTAGAGTGTTTCCTGCCAGGCTCACTGTGACACTTGTACTGGATAAGCTAATGGAAGCTGGATGGATGGACTACGTTAGAGTTTACTTGCCTTATCTTTCACAGCCACCAGGGAGCGCAGGACTCCATTAAGAAACAACCTCCCTGTTTTATCTAGCAAAATTAAATTTGCGACTGTCATTAGTGCTAATCAGGCTTCATCTAATTGAATTTACACGTGGTTAAGCTCAAGCTAACAAATTTTTAGATTTGCAAATATTTGAACTGTAAACTGGAATGCTGACTTCACACAATACAAATGTAAAATTTGTGACTTACCGTCACATAGTGTGAACAACACGGCCCTCCAGACCCAGGCAGGCCGGCTCATCAGCGTCCCCCCTTGCCGTGATGTTATCGTGTGTGTTTTCCAGCTCTGCTCGCTGTTCCCCACTCCTCCTGCTCTCTGTCGTTCTGATTGTTTGGACAGACCCCCAGATGCTCACCAGGTCAGGACTGCCCCTGCGGAGCTGCACCAGTGTCACTTGGCCCTGTGCTCACATTATTTTCCTGCTGAAAGGTGAACTTCCTCCCAAAGTTCTGTTGCTGTAGCTGACAGAATTCACTTGCACTACCTCCCTACAATTTTTTTTCCCCTAGATCCAGCTGAATATGCGGTGCCTGCTGTCACAGCAGGAGCCCGCTGTCCCCCTACCTCGCTGTATTCTTACTTCTCTGACTTCTGCCACACATGGAGTTTAAAGCTTTGGCCAAAAAAAGTTCCATCTGACCACAAAACTTCCAGATCAGTCTTGTGTAAATTCTCCTGTCCACTGCCAGTGTAGACCACCATTATACAACATTCTTGCATTGTATGCTGGTGAATCTTCAGGCCATTCTCAGACTCATCTCTGCAGGTCTTAAAGCAGTGGATTCCTGAATCCCCCCCCCCCCCCCCCCCCCCCCCCCCCCCCCTGCCCCTAACACCATATGGATGCTGAATTTTCGTGGTCATTTTCATACCATTCCATCAGCTTTAGGACCTGATCAATAGCCATTAAGCAGATGGCTTTGGTCAGACAAAGTGAGGGTCACTCCAGCAGAATGCCAACAGAGAGGGAATCTTACTCTATTTGGGATTTTACCCCCACCTCTCTAAATCAGCACACCAGAACTGAATGCTTAAGGCTTAAAAGTGACAAATCTCCAGGATTGTAAAGTGAGAGCAGCATCCGTGATTCCCAGTATATTCAGATTTAATGCTTTTGCCAGCCTTTGAAGTCTTCTGTCTTTACATACGCTGATGCGGATCCCAAACTAGCTTTCAGTTACAATCCCGGCTAATTCAGAAGAACAAGAAGCTTCAAATTTTAAGCAAAAAAAAAAATTTAAAATCCTGGAAAGAAATTCAAAGGAGTTTGTAGTTTAGTCCATAACGTTTTGCAGTCTATCGCCAAGAAAGGAAATCAGACTGTTTATAACCTTCAGTATGAGGGGTTTTGTATATTTAAAGTGAACTCAGTCCCCCCCCCCCCCAATCTCATCTTATACAATTAACAGCTCATATTTGCATGGGTTGACGTTGTAAAGCATAAAGCATTATGGGTACTGTAGTGCCCACTTGTACAGACGTGTGTGAATAAAGTGGGCACACATCACATGGCTATAAAAAGAAAAGTCCAGAAACCACTCACATCGTATTCAAGTTTCTGTCTTCACCTGTTTTATAAAATTGGGTGGTCATGTGACCCACAGAAGACGCGTATCGGCCATGCAGAATCGATGAAGGTAATCCACGGCTGCTCCCCTCCCCCGACGGGCTTCTGGGCTTCGGGCGGAGATCCATTTCTCCCAGGCCTAAAATATCCTGATAAGAAACATCAGTGAAATCACACAAAAAACTCATAAAAGATGGTCCAAGAACTCGGGGTGTTATTTCCTAGCAACAGGTAACCACTTTGGTATTATGGTCTGTTTCTTCACACTGACTTGGTGAGTCGGTTATTAGGAAATCAATGTCACACTCACAGTACAGATCGCATTGTGTAATATTCTTGCATGCACACACACAGCAATTCTATATTAAATGATTATTGGCAACCACAAGATTTATGGAATGATGAAGGTGAAGTGACCATCACTAGCCTTTTCAATTATTCTGAGTGTATTTTTATAAGCATGATATTATATATAAACCTGGAACTCTGCAGGAGAAGCAACGGCTGGCTCATCTTTAATGATCACTGGCATCCTTTGAACAAAGCCACTAAGAAGAGGACACCAGACAAGTAGTCGGCTAAGATTCACCAGTACAGCCCTGGTGAAAGATTTGGGGGTGAAATTGCTATTTTACATTCAGCTCTATATCTGACAAGCTTCTGGTGATCGGGTGACAAAGACGGCAATTACATGTTCATGCATCTTCTAACCACTTACCCACTACAGGAGGTAGGAAAGAGGGGCTGGACACACACGGGACAATTTAGAAACACCAGTTCAGCCAAATGAGAGGGGAAATTCACATGTCACACAAATGGAGCCGGGGTGAGATCTGAACCTGCAAACCCAGAGCTGTGAGACCTTCATCTCACCCAAACAGGTTCATGTGCTTTAAATTTAGTAAAGCATTCTACAGTTGAGCTTTTTTTCTCCAGTCGAAGGAAAACATTTCTCACAGCCAGATAGCAGAGAGTCTAATGTAATGAACGTACGGATGAGCTTTTCTGAATTGTTCACACAGAACTTTCCTGACTGAGGCCTGAAAGACACTTTAGAAATATTTTAACGTAAGGCTCTAGCGATCATCAACAGTCTTTTATACAGGCATTTCATGGAGGCCGACAGCATCCATATACGTCTAAAAGTCTGGGAATGTGTGTCGGAGTGAATTAGCGGCCTGCTGGCCGTTTACGTCTTATCGGAATTCTGCAGGCGGAAGCGGTGTCATCCAGCCTGTCCTGTCCCTTTACAGGTTCCAGCGTTTGAAAGCTGAAATATTCCACACGGAGCCGCGTATCGTCGGCATAGCAACGCTGATTGACACCATGCTGGTGAATAATATCCTCAGGTATATTTATGGCAGAGAGCAGTGAGCCCAGGCTGGGTTATTGTGGAGTTCCGCTTACCTGACCGCTGAGTATTTTGGCGGTTCGTCCTTTACTAAAAGCTGACATCTGTCAGATGGACAACTGTCCACGTGTACTGGCAAACAAAAAAACAAAAAAACACTGATTTTATAGACTGTCCAAGAGAATATGGTGATCAGTGGAGTCTAGAGCAGCACTTAGGTCCAGAGATGTGAGAACCTCAATGTGAGAAGAGAGAAGTGAGTCCCCCGTACGCCAAAGAGCGTTTCGTCGCCACCATCCTGTCAGAAAACATGCCGAGGCATCACACTGATCCCGTTTCATTGCAGGGAGACACACAGCTTCTGAACAACATAACGCTTCAAAATTTTAGACGGAATTGAAAAGTCGGAGACGGGCTGGTGGCTATACAGAACACGCTGGGCCAGATCGGGCTTAGCCTGGTGTGACTCAGGAATGGCGAGAATGCGGACAAGCTGTATTAACGGGATGTCAGATCACAGACCCGCTGGGTGTTCTCATTACTGCTGTCAGCGAGAACAATGCTGACTGAGCCATACTGAGTGCTTTTTAAATGTCTGCTTGGCTGTCATTGCAAGCAAGGAGAATGACCTTTAATTAATCACGAATCCTGCTCTATTACCTAAGTGTGGTCATGACACCACGGTCAATATAGCTTATATTTACCAGTTTTCTCTTCCAGGCATTGCACAGCATTTATTGCATTGTTGGGTGGCTCATTTAGGCCCAAGTCAGCATTCTGCAAGCCTTGAAATATCATGAATTATCTTGAATGATCATTGTTGATCAGTCCATTCACCGACGCTGCTGTTCTCCAGTGATTTTATTATACTTAATAATCCTTTGTGTGAAAGTGCATGCCCTGTGACAGATCGGCATCTCGTCCATGGTGTACTCCTGCTTTCTGCAGCCTTGGACAGACTCTGTATGATGCCGAATTTATAGTGCATTAACTACACATTTGGCTTACATGTCTGTACCTAAAGACTGGTCTTTGGGTTTAGCAATGGGCAATTTTTAAGGACTTATTTTTTCAAACTAACATCTGACTTTAACAAACAATTTTTCAATCGACGACGGTGGCTTGGGTCATATCTAAATGAAATATTTAATCGCTGGCAGAAGAATGTTCTAATAAATGTTTTCATTTCGTAAACGTGAAAATAATGCCTTTGAGAAAAAAATGTGCAAGTCAAATGGGTGGTAAATGTGGTATATGCAGGTTAATGCACTCCAAGCTGAGCATTATACGTTTTTAAACGCATTCTACTGTGCGTCGGGTGGTTCTTCGGATTCTTACTTATTTGAACTACTGGACCAATTTCTGCATAGGAAGAAGCAAATCACAAGGTGCCCTGAACGCTGAGCCAGACAGGTGACCGGAAGATGGATTTCAGAAGTTATATCCATAAAGTACTCAATAACAAGGTTAGGGGGCATTTACATGCCTTTGTACCACGACAATTATGTTAAGAAAGTAAAATGACGCCTGGCATATCATTAAGACTCGATGCACCAGACTAGACAGGGGGGAGTGCGGCTCTTAAATGACCAACCATGCATGTCTGTGTTGGTCTGAAAAGGCAATAAAAGTGTTAATGATACAGGCCAGAAA